TGATCAAAAGGAGAAATGACCAGGAGCCATTTGCAGGTATTGTAAAATAACACACAGCTATTATATCCTTCCCCGTCCATTAACTTCCTCGTTTCGATGCTATGCCACAGACAGCGACGCTAACTGGTATTGTCACTTCTACGAAGCCACAGTAAACAAAATGTTGTATCAGGATTTGCTAGACTGGGGAAAAAACAGCACTACTGTGCTCCAGGCCCATGCAGCATTTCATCCTCCTTACTCTATCACGTGCTGCTTTTTTGGGGTTCCTCATGCTTGGCACGACTTTTCCCAGTATTCACTACAACTCTGAACTTGACTGTCTCTATTTTCCACCCACAAAACACTGCATTTTGTTTTCAATCAGACTTAAGGCTAAATTAAATGTCTGTAATAAATCTATGCCATTACAAGTCACCTAAAACAGAATACTTGCGCTACCTGAAAGGTGTTATAAGCAAGTTAACAAAATGGCAAAGCAAAGTCATTGGACAAAAACTGATTTCAAATCCGACCTCAAGAACAATCCCCAATGCACTGCTGCTCTGAATATTGGAGCAATGCATGAGCTAGGGACTCACAGTCAGACCCCTGAGCAAACATTAGAAATGCACTGAACACCTTGCGACTATTGCCATGTCCACGTGATATCTTGCAGAAGTCACTTGATCCAAGACACTATTTAAACAACAGAGGTAGAAGCCTTCAAAATGCAAATAGTCCAGGAGGATTATATGCAGTAGTAATGAGATATGCATCTTCTGTTGACAATCATCTAAGAGTCTAAAGTATCCTCTCTAACGTCACAACCCCCACCATGCTGGCCTCCTTCTGTAGGCCCGAGCTGGACATTTCACTTCATCCGTTCCCTTTCTGTATCTTACCAGGATGCTCGATTCCAAATCCTGGGGCACATAAGGTATTTCGCTGACAGCAGTCGCAGTCTTCATTCCAGTGGTAGCCCATCGTACAAGCACACTGCCGCTGGAACGTGCTGTTCCCCGGGTTCACTTCTCTCAAAGCTTTCCCTAAAAGAGAAAACAGATGGGAGTGAAAAATCTCTCTGATAATAAGCCTCAAGTTTATGAACCTCCCGTTCTACCTATTTGCTTTGCTTGAATGCCAGATGCAAAACCATGCATGTTAGAGGAAGTGTTATCTTTCAAGAACCATGGGAAACCCTTGGTCAGCACGGGGCTCCTCACTGATTGCACTCCTGAGCAATACTTTTCCTTGTAGCTGCTGTAGAAAATAAACAGAGCTTTTGCAAGGGTGAGACAAACGCGTTAGGGGAAGTGAACACGCAGTACGCTGGGCAAAAGGACAGCCTTTAAGATGTAGCTCACAGGAGTGAATGGCCCCAGTGAAGATAATCATTATCAGCAGCAGGGAGACTATGGTCGCGGTGCTCAGCACAGCACAGAACCTCTGCTGTCCGGGGACCTCTCCCTCCGACAGACTCTTTTGCAAGTCCAGCCTCCAGTGTCGGGTACCTGAACAAAGCAACTTCCCTAGATCCGCTTTCCCATCTTCGTGCTTCACTAATTTGGATTAAAAGGTTCTTCAGTATGAACAGCTCACCTTGATCACATATTTTATGTAGTAAGCATTTATCTTCTTCATTCCACGCATCCATATACTCGTTTGGGCCACACGGCTGGCACACGCTATCAGAAGTACCAGTGCATCTAGCAGACATATACTTTCCTGTGAATGAGAGAAGGACAAGGAGATAGTTTGCAAGTTGCATGCCGGCTGTCTAAGGAGCTTAGGGAAAATAACAGGTTGGGCTAACGCTGCTGTAGTACTGTGGACAATCGTTTCTTCCTGCCACCTTTTCAGTTCCTCAGTCTGGCCCCCATTTAGCAGGGCACTGAAACAGGCGCGAAGCTTACGGCCTGGGAGCAGTCCTATCTACACGCACGAGAATGAAGCCGCTTTCCGTCTCCCACAGCGGTTAAGTGCTATCCCAACAAAATAGCTGCTACGGCTTTTGCTGAGGTCAGCAGGACCACTTCTGCACTAGAAGGCACTCGTAAGCCTCAAATCACGCACCTGCGAGGGTATGTGCCAATAGATTAGCAGAGTCAAAAGAGCAAGCTGCCTTACTGACCCGCAGAGCTGTTTCTAATGAGCTTTTCAGTCATGAAGCTGGTACAGCCCAGTGCTCACGTACCTGGCTCACACTTTGTGCAGCACCGTCCAGAGTATTCATAGTGTTGTTCGCTTTCACACGGCGGAGTGATTTGTAGTGACAACTGGAGCGGAGAAGGAGAGAGAGGACACGAGAATCAATATACATGGAGGCCTTCACACCCACCTAGTCATAGTGCTAGCAGAGAGGAGAAAAACTTTTCTTCTGCATAGCATTTTGGATAAGCAGCTAAGCAGTAAAAATTACCCAACATATATGACTTTAAAAGTGCTTTGTAGACACGCTAAGAATATGTACTTGATGCTGTACACACAGGGACTTGTAATACAGCCAGGTAATAAATAAATAACACAATCTTGCAATTTGTCATGAACTTTTGGCCTGCTATATAACCTTTTCTTACAGTACTCTATTATTTGAAATCGATGACTCTAAAACAATTGTAAAGAAAAAAAATTGGCACAGAGATACTTCTGTAGTCTCTTCCATAGATATGACTTCAGAACAAGACCTTGACAACTGACAGCTTTAATGTACAGCATTAAGCAAACAAGTAAGGTGAACAATTTATACTCCTGGAAAAGAAGAAGTTCCCAGCTTCCCACTGGGATACACAATACTCCCACATAGTAGCCCCAGAAAATTGTGGACTTTAATTTTGCAGCTTTTTATGGCTCCCACTGTGTAATGCAGAGGCAGTCTTATGGAACGGAGGCAGCAATCCAGAGATGGGATACAATTAAGTCAACAGGTTTTGGCTTCTCAGAAAACCAAACCAAACCAACACAGACCACCCTCAAAACCACCTGAAACTGTTACACGAGAGAGCATTCTGCGAAGCAGGTCGCAGCCTTGCCTCTAGCTCTTACAGGCCTTCGCATCCCCTCCCTGCTCTCGGCTGCCTGTACACACAGGGGTCTTACCCGCAGCCCAGCACAGGTGGGTCCCCTCAGCCCGGCTTCGGGGCATGGCTTGTGCTGGGGATCCTGGCCAGCCCAGCCCCTCGCTGACCCTGCTCTGGCTGCCCGGGAGTCTCCCAGCAGCGGTTCTCCAGGCAAACTTAACACCTTACAACCAGTTGTTGGTCTTGCAATAGAGAAGATGATTCAAAATCTGGCCCATAGCAAGGTATCCTTCATTATTCAATACAGTTGTTAAAATCTCATTTACTTGGAGAAAGCTGCAATAAGGCTTCTGCTGCTGGTTGAAGCGAGCTCTTGCCATCTAATAGCATATGACAGCCCTGCGCCTACTGATACTGGTCTCCATTCCTATATTTCGCATCTTCCCCTTGTTTCCTCCAAATCTTTACTTCTCTTCTTTCCTCCTTTTCTAGTTTCAGCAATAGCAATCTCTTTAGATAAAAATTATTTTCCCCTAAGCACTCTGTTCTCTTCTAATGCTGGGAAGGGTCTTGTAACTTCAAGATGACCAAAAAGGTTGAAATTTTTCTTTAAAGCACCACCTTTTGGCTTGGAGTTTGAGCCATGGGTTGGTGCATGACTTGTGTTTATCAAAACTGCACTAGCTGTGTCTGGAACAGAGTAAGTACCTCAAGTCAGAGGTCTTGAGTTTCTATATTTTTGCAAGTTATAAACAACTTGTAGTAATTTTTTTATCATTACAACAGTCCCGGGTCAAATTAAGAATCTAGTCTTGCAAAAAATCTTCTGTTGTCTCATTGTTTCTTTGTCTCTTGTTTTGCATTCATTAGCAGTACCTTTCCCTTGATTAGATGATACTTTTCTTGGAACAAACATTGCGTTTCATGTTTGCGCAGCATCTCCCAGGAGGAGCACAGGATAATGATCAGCACTGGCAAGGCGAGAGGCGATCTAGGAAATGGAAAGCCGGGCCAGCCTGGCAGCTGAGCAGGAATACTGCTCGGTGTCCCAGGGGAAATGCCAAAAACGATCCTGTAATTGAAGGAGTTTGTTTTCTGTAATGCACTTCAGGCGGCGTCTGATACAACACTAAGCTGGCCAGTGTGGGGTTGAGGCGACGTTGCGGGACCGAGCAGCAGAGAGGTCTTAAGTGACTGATTCCCTATTCCCAGCCATCCAAAAAGGCAACAAAAGTGGTAAGACCAACAACAGGTCCAGTCGCTCGCTTTTTGTCACAGAACGTCCTCTTCTTCCTCGTTTGCCCCAGTTCGATAGTTCCTCTTTAGAAGAAAAAACTAAAAAATTACTAAGTGTCAAACAAGGGCAAAGTCATCCTTTTTAAGGAAGGATATGCAAATCTGCTAAACAGCATTCAGCTAAAAGGCCTGGAATAATTTCTGAGAATCACAACTCAGCCCGAGGAGCAACAGTAATGCCCTGGCGCTGAGGCTAAGGGAGCAGGCTAATTGCTCAACCACCTTTTGGAAATCATTTCGTACCTCCATGCTTTACCACATAAAGAGGGCTATTGTTGCAGTATAACTCACAGCTACAGCCGCATAAATCTACACTTTATGTCAATAAGTAGTCTCTTCTGTGACCGTGTCCTTCCCCTTTTCACACAAGTCAGGGCATTCACAGAGCTGCAATACTCCCTCCTTTGATTTATGCTCAATGGCATGAAGACAAGGCTCTCGGTGGCCACGTGCTAACCCCCACGTGAGCCCAGCCTCCTTGCGAAGGCGAGGGATTCTGGCCTGGTATGGACTGGCTGGACCTGCTGAGCATGAAAACTGGGGGGCGAGAGGACAGGAAGGGAAACAAAAGCAACCTGGAGTTTTCTTAGGCTGGGAGTCCAACTTGTGCCCTTTTGCTAACACAGCCCCGTTGAAGTCGGGTTATCCCTTGTCTAACCCTCTGCCAGGGACCGTGTGCGTCTCATCGTCAAACTGTACGTCAGCTTCCCTTGGGGGCTGAGAAGTACTCGTGCTGCTGGCAGCACGATGACCTAACGCTTCGCCATCACCAGTGCATTCCCGCCACAGCGTCCTTTTGAGATGGGGAAGTGCAATTTATTTCGCAGATGAGGAACTCGCACCCGGAGGCCGGCTGGTTTTACAGAGGTGACAGGAAACCAAACCAAGTCTCCCAAGTCTCAAGTTCGCCCCATAACCCCTGGAACATCCTTCCTCTCATCGCGTGCCGGCCTGTGGGCCAGAGTGGTTTGGACATCACCGAGCTCTTTTCTAAAGAGAGAGAAGGGGCCTCAATGAATGAGAAGGTGTCAGTCTCCTCTGAAGTGATTAAATAAGACAAAAACCAGTCCAATCATTCCTTTAACGGTCTCACTGTTGATGAAGATACCCATTAAATCCCACCACCATGTGCAAATGAGTGCTTCAAAAAGCTCTAGGTATCTTGTGTAAATTTAATTGTCACTTATAAAGTGTGCAAAGCACACAGATTTGCACTGGTTCCTAACAAAACAGGCTGCTTTCCTGCTTGATTAACATTACCTCAGAACAAGTATATCTGACAGGAGAAGCGTCCAGGGGTAAAAAGACAAACCTCCTCTGGGCTTGATGGATTCAGTTCAGTAAAGCACGCCAACACCTGCTTATCCTGAAGCACATGAGTAGCACCACTGACTTCTTTGGAAAAACAGGCATGCTCATGTCAAGGTTTGCAGGACGACCGTGTTGTGGTGTCAGCCTTTTGAGCTTTTTTTTTTTTTTTCCCCCTATTTATTGAAAAGGACGCTAAGCAAGAGTGTGCTTGTAGGGTCGGAGAGCTTCGATGACTCAGAGCTACAAAGCACCACTGTGTTACTCAGATCTTGAAAAAACACACACACAGGTGCTTCTGAAGGGGGAACCAGCAACATTCAGATTCCTGTCCTCAGGCTTAAGGAAATATTTATTCTTGGTGCCGTTGAGCAATCGGATGGCAGCAGAAGCTGTGTGTCATGGATGCTAAAATTACTTTCTCACTCCGATGAATATTCAGACAGACATTTCAGAGAAGATAGAGTTGCATGGGCCTCTTTCCTTTAAAAGAAAAAATCTGGAAGAACAAGCTCGGGGGTTTCCACAGTCTTTTCCCATGTCACTTCTGAACAAGAACCTGAGGCCTCAATGAGGATTGCTCATTAGCGATAATCCTAGTTTTGCAAAAATTGAGATCTAAAGGGACACGTCAATGGGTAACTATCTTAAGATGACACCTCCTTGCTCAAGGTAGTTGTTTCTGAAGAGTATTCAAGTCACCTGTCATTGTTTCACTACGAAAAGCACATTTTTTTCTCCATTTAGTATTACAGAAACAAAGTACCTATGGGAGAGACAACTGCGGTCTGTCCTGCCTTGCACACCACTTGTTCTTTATACTTTGGAACCTGAGTTTATTCAAACCACTTGCTTTTCAGGTCCTTAGACTTGCCTGCTGTAGAACTACAATATTTCTGTGGATTTGGTGCTTTATTTGCCTTCATCAAGAAAACTGAGCTTTGACTAACATTTCCTGATCTGAAGTAGCCTCTGCAAGCACAGCACCCTGTTTCCAGCTAGAACGGCCTCTGCACTTATCTGTTGCTTTTTCTCCTTCAAATATGAGCCGCTCCCTCTCCTCTCACAGGTACAGATTGTGTGCCCACAGCCTTCCAGCTTCCTACCTCATTTGGCTCAGCAGTATTGCTAAGCAAACCCCAGATTTCTTCAGCTCGTTGCCAGTTTCAGAGGCTTGGCTACAAAATTATTTAAGAGTAAAACCAGAATCTGGCTCTCGATGGGCGCTGCTCCGTGGCTGGTGCTCCCAGGCACTCTATTGAGGTGCATAATAGTAATGCACACAATGAACGACTCTGGAAATTTTTACAATTGTGAGTTTTTTTTTTGGACTCTTATGTTAAAGATTTAATCATAATCACATGGATGCTGAATGCAACAGTTCCTTCATAGACAGTCTTCACTCTTGATAAAAATTCAATCAAAGCAGCACACAAGTCACGGCTTTGCAATTCCAGTTATTCACTTGCAGGTCTGTAATTCATCACCAAAATCTTAGATTGTGAATGAAATGCTTTTGGTGATGTCAACTTTCCAGTGACCAGTAAACCACATCACAGAACTACCACCACGTGGTAAAATATAGCCGGGAAATGGCAACAGCTAAAAACTAAATATTATTTCACTCTTAAAAATAGGTCCTCGAAACCCTGCAG